AAATTTCCATAAAGAATCATGTTCCTTTTCTAATAAATCCTGTTTATCTTCTTCATACTAGAGGAAAGATACCTCTGAACTATATCAAAATAATTATATAGGTTCTTAAAGAATATTATAAAAACATCCGTAACCTTTCCTTATCTTAACTGCAATATGATTTCAAACAATATATTTTCTTACTGTTACAAATTGTTCACTCTCGTCAATATACCAATCAGAAAAACCTGATCGTGCAAATACATTTTTCTATCCACCGTAAATTTTCCTTCCAAACACCAAACAAGATATCAAATTACACGCGAATGGGACAAATTACTTCCGTAACGAGTCGTTCGAGCGCCAGATCGCTCGCGGTAATGGCGGTTCCCCGTGCTAATTATATGCAACCAGGCGTCCCAGCGTCGGAGTCCCGTCGGGGACAAAAAAAAAAAAAAAAAGAAAAACGTCGGAAGACTCTTTCCGGTCGAATCGATATCCGTCGCTCCGGTCTGTCGGGGTCGTATTGTCTCATTGTTGGTCACGTAGTAAACGGTATAAGGAACAGACAGAGCAGATCCTGGAAAGGAACAGACACATCGTCCGCACGCCATGGGCGGCATCTGACCCCCCACGAGTCTCGTAAGCAGAAGATACGCCACCGTGCCACGGGATTTTTCTGTAAACTGTACATGGATAGGGCATCCTGACGCCGCCGCATGCGGCTATTTAGACGCGAGACGACGGCACAAAGGGCCCTTTTGTGCCCGGCCAAAGAGAGAGAGAGAGGCCCGTGCTGCAACTGGACACCACATTGCACCAGAGATGCTCCCCCGTTCCATTGCACGGCCTCGTTACACGCCGATTCCGGACGGTGTCGCGCGACTCAGGATGTCCTTGCGAACCGTACATCCCCTGGATCACCGTTCAGAGACGTCTGCGTGAGAACTGTTTCTTGTCTTTTTTTTACGCGAGGAACGGGGCAAATATTGCTTTCGAGCTTCTCATGGGAAATATCGTGGTCACCAGAGACATTAAAATAACTGGTTGTAACTTTTTAACCGGAAATAAAGTTATTTGGAAAAGTTTAGACGAAAAGAGAACTAGGTACTTTCGACGTGAAAAAATCTTCAAAACGTCGTAACGCCTCGACCTGCGACGCGATCGCTTGCAAACTAATTTTAGTAGGACTTCACGCAAATTATATATATATATATATATATATAAATTAGTACTATAAATTTTGAGGAAAATAAAACACGAACATTTCAAACTTGATGTAGGACCGTGGTAGAATCATGTCCGAGGTACAACAGGTTCCCTGTACTTGACTGCGGAGTTTCATAAGGGAATAATGTAAGAAAATTTCCGAAAATCTCAAGGACGTGGTCTCGAAGGCTCCTCAGTCTAGGAATTTGTTTGAAAATCGTGCTACTCTGGGCCTCGGGCGCGGCGGCTTCACACGGCGCTGGGCCCTCCAGACGCCGGCGCCGTTTTCCCACAATTAAGAAGGCGCCTCTGTATCTCTTGGCGCCCGACCATGCACCACACAAACGCCACCGATTCACGCGTGCACGCGCCCGCTTCTGGTGTAATACCGCGTACGTTCAATGAGAGACTGCCCACGAAATAATAAACATGCGTGTCAGCCATGAAGAGGTCGACGGATCGTGTATCCATCCGTTGGTTGGTCGCAGCGACAATTCGCAATTGCGATCTCTCGCGTTTCTCTCGGAACATCACCGATGGTGGATCTGCTTTGGTAAAGATTCGCTTGTGTAATCTCGAATAGAAGGAAAATTGTTCCGAGGAAATCTTTCGGTGCCAGTTTACGTTTTGGTGGTGCTCTCTTGGTACCTTCAATTAAATACAGTAGGAAGTTTGCAACATACTTGAGTTAGATTGCGACTGCTGATTAATTTCTGGAGCCAATCAAGTGACAAATTCGAAAGAGGCAATGAAGAACGAGGTTTGAGTGTGTCGTAAATGTAAATTGAAAGCCTCCGAGTGTCTTCCCGAAAAAGACCCTTCGGCTACTAGGGTTAATTGGGGCATCAAAGGAGTAAATGAGTAACCAGCTACATACTTTTTTGCAAGGTGGTAATAGATTTTAATATCGAAAAATCTTCTTGACATTTTATTCGATTTCACAGATGAATAGAATTACTCGTTGACGCAACGATTCAATTTCTTCTATTACAAGCACAGTTCTAACAAATTGTCCAAAATTTTCTTTAAAGAAAGATATCTTTATTACCACAAAAAAAAATTCTACCCTAATTTACACGGTACTGTGGCCCACCCCTGAAGAAATTTCGAATAAACGATGTCTGCAGACGATTCTGCTTCAAAAAAAAGGGGACACTTTTTTTTCCCATTTAAATGTAAATTACTCAAGCGTCTGAAAGTTATGCAAAAGTTCTAGTAGAGGAGACAGGATGGTAGCACTCACACAGGGGGCGATTTTTCGGATTCCATCCGTGAGCGTCAAGGGTTCCCGACGTTTCGAAGGGCGCGCGTCTGGATTATGTTACTTTCGACTGGTCGTTGTTGCGGAGTGGGGAAACGGCCACGAGGATCTCGTCCTGGTTGCTGTTCGCCGAGAAAAATGGGTTGTTTTGTTTTCGTTACTGATCCCGTTCCGAAATCGAAACCGTTCGATGACGGGGTCCTGTCACGCTTTTGACGCTTTTGACGTCTCTTCGTTTCTCCATAGACTAGACTAGGCAGAAATCATTACTCCATTTCCCTCAGAGACAATTTCGACTCCTCTGGGATCAATTTTCTGATTTTCTATTCTGATTGTTTGTATAGTAACTACAATTTTAATTAACCCTTGTATACCGCTAAAGTAATTATTACATATAACTGGCCAGAAAATTATTCGACCACCTTAAGCATTAAACGGGTTTGGGGTGGAATTGTAAAGTAGGTTTGTTAGTAATAAAAACTATATTAAAATCCATTTTCAATGAACTTTTCTTAGAATTCAGTTATACAATTTATAATGCAGGTACTTAATGAAAATTCATGTTCTGTTTCGGCGAAATTTGAGCCTAGAGCGATCAGAAAAATTAATTGCTAAGTATTCATTCAAGCAAGAAAGTACTGAAAGAACATAAAATCGATGACTATACAAGACATACATAGATAGCAACAATAAAAATTCTAGTAATTAAATAGGATTGATTCTATAAGATTTGTACGTTCTTCTAGATACGTTTCGAATTAACTTTGAATACTACAAAAGCAGTCCTTCTTTTAAGAATGATTTCAAGATGTTTGACTTATCTTCGAAGTACTGTCTACCAACAGCGAAACCCAATATAATTCAGGAAGTACGTTAATCCAGCTGAGAAATGTTCCCGCTTGCTCCACCCTTTCGCAACACCATTCCCCGTTGGTCCGTGAACGGGGAACACGCTAACCGAAATTGCAGAAGGCGGGTAATTCGAGGGGATCGCGATTTAATCGCCGGTTTTAGAAGCATCCGTTCGCGGTATGCCTGGATTGGTTCGGTTGTTCAAGCATAGGCGGTCCTTTCTTCTCCTCCGCCCCAGCGTTAGTCACCGCGTTATGGCTGTCCCAAGGCAAAAACGGATTTGCCATCTCCTTAATCGCCCACGCACTTCCGATCCTCGTAATTATTATGCGTCGTGGGCTTCCATTTCTTTTTTTTCTTCGTCAACAGTCCGAACGATCGATCCTCCGCTCCCAATCTTCGTTGAATTACCAACAAAAAACGAGAGCTTTCGATTTCCAGACATATACATACTGTCTCATTGCAGAGTAGGAATATTGATGATAAATAATTCTGAAAAGAGACATGAAATTTTTAAAAGACGGTGGACGTGTAATAGTACCCACATATAGTGAGTTACACATTTCTTCGCATGCTTTTGAAATAACAATTAGGTGTCAAGACTTTTATGCAACTCCATTTACATATTCTCTTTGTCATTACTCTTGTCAGCCTTTTGTGATCAGAATTTTCCTGAATTTAGAAATAAAATTCACATTTTATTTCTCCAAGAAACCGACATAATACTTCGCCAATATCACCCCAATGATAAAAAATCACCCCCACAAATCTCCAAACCCCGTAAAAATCCTCCTCCATCCCCGTAGAATCCGAAAATTGACGTCGATCGCTATAGGCGAATTAAAGTCTCCAATCAGGTTTCACCGAGGCTCGACCACCCCGTCGAAATCTCACGGTTCCTGTGCTCCACTGGCGTGGGTGTGTGCGCTGGTGTAGAGAGCACGCAGTCAGTGGCGGGGCACACGTACACGTCACACGCAAAGGAGGAGATCTCCGTCCGTGGTGGTGTGTTCCAGTACCCACGGGACCAACACTTGACTCCCTCGGAGGAACCAAGTCACATTACACGTCTGCCCTCCGGCCTGACCGTTCAACCGTGACCATCATCCCCCGTGCGGCGAACACGGATCGGTTTTGACGTTTAACGTTGCAAACGAGTAGCCCGTAAAACGAGCCCGCGAGCAAGTGTGTCAACAACATCGTAACGAGCTCGTTCGGGTTTTATAGTCCTGACGATATACGCGACCTCTCGTTTATTGCGTTTCGAGTGCAATTAACGGTTCGACGGGCCGACGGAACGGATTCTCGAGTTGTCACGATCGACAGAGCACGATCGGTTGTACCATTTTTTTGGGGAGTGGGGGGGGGCCATTGATAGGGACTTCGGAGGATTATCGAAAAGTTAACGGTTCCGGGGTTGATCGAGGGACAGTTCAGTGATGTCGATGGAAGTTTTTGAAGTTTGACAAGCGAATACTTGGGACTGGAGAACAGAGGTAGTTAAGAAAAGGAATTCTTGATTTGGTGGAACGTCGATGGATCCTGTGTGTGCATTATACAAGTGAAGACATCTGTGCTGGATTCTTTGGAGATATTCATATTTTGTGGATTTTCGAGAGGCTTTAATAGTTCGTTAGAATATTCCGAAGTGCAGTTCACCGTTGTTGACACGTTTCGAAATAGTCGAGGATGTATTAGAATGTTGTCTTCCTCGATCTCCGGAACCCCGTTCAGCGTCCGCGACATTCTCAGCGAGGATCAGCAGCTCGGAACCATGGATTGCTACCCCGTCGCTCACCATCAGCACCAGATTCAACAGCAACACGCCACCCAAGATTACTATAATTACATCGTGCCGGATAATCAGTGGGAATTCGAAAAATCGATGCCGACTTACCCCCATTACCCTGATTTTAGTAGTCACGTTCATCAGCTGAATCAAATCGCGCCGACGTATCAGGAGCCTACGATCTCAGAAGATGGTAAATGTGTTTTAATAACGGTTTTTTTGTACTGAAATTTTATATTCTTTTGGACGGTGAACGTAGCAGTATGATTGTTTTACAGGTAACGTCGTTACATCGAGCAAGACCGAGTTGAGGAAGAGTCAGTCGGGCAAGAGAACAAAACGGAAGCCGAGAGTGCTCTTCTCACAGGTGAGAACTCACAATAAATTGCTATGTGAGAATTCACAATAAATTGCAATGAAGCTTTTATATTGTTTAGAACCTGATAGAATCTTTAATAAGACGAATATAAATCTATTTGTCTTCAGTTTCGATAAATTACTGCATACTCGAGAAAATCTGAATTTCCATAAACTTCCCCTGTCTAGTCAAAATATTATTTCTTTGTTTCACTAAAGAGTGGCTACTAACCTGACAGATATTGCCAATTAAATAACATCTCTAACATGAACGGGCGAAATACATCGTGTCAGAGCTGGATTTAATAAAACCAATCTATGTTAATCCCCTCGACGTTACTATTTTCCGTTTTCATCTGTTCTTTAACGTATACCATTCACAAACAACAAATCTCTGTTCATAAACATGAAAATGTACTTCTGGATCGTCTTGCATGTATCGAATCAATAAAATCGAAGATCTGAAGAACGTCCCATCGTTTCTTCCAGACGCAAGTCTACGAACTGGAACAAAGATTCAAGCAGCAAAGGTACCTAAACGCCCCGGAAAGGGAGCTACTTGCCCAAACCTTGAAGTTGACCAGCACGCAGGTGAAGATCTGGTTCCAGAACCGTCGATACAAGAACAAACGCGCAAGAATCGAGGACGCGGAAAAGCTGCAGGCTCAGAACATGAAGCATCAATCTCTGAAGAAGATCTCTGTTCCCGTATTGATCAAAGATGGTAAGCTGAATCTTCAGGACACTTACAACCCCACGGTCGGGCCCTATTGGTCCAACATCAGACCGGAGCTGACGGTGTCGATGCAGCCTGACTTCCGTATGAACGACATCCGTCTGAGCCCGGAATTCAGATCGCAAAACGGGGACGTAAGAATGGACCCCAGCATGAGCCCCGAGTTCAAACCGGAAATTCACTCGGACATGAGCGGAAAATCAAGCCTAAACGGGGATCTACAAGTCAGACAGCAAGTTATCGGCACACTATCGGATTATAGAAACAATCTAGCGACGGATTGTCAACGGCAGATCAAGACGGAATACAAGGACAACGAGGTATCACCGTTTTCCGATATGAAGAACATGACGTCGGACGCGAAACCGATCGTCAGCGACGGAAGACCGACGATGGACGTCTCGAGCAGCGACTACGGTTTCGCGAACTACTTGGGCCCCCCTAATTACCAGATGCAGTACGTGAATTATATGGAACAGGTGCCGCTGGACCAGAATCTCCAACGATTGTGGTAAAAACAAACTGACATAAGTTCTTAAATTCGACCGAGAATCGGTGGAGATCTTACAATCGATAGAAACGTTTCTGTGCTTCGTAACTGCGCGAGTTAAACGCCCATGGAGGGGCCAGGGTTCTGATTTCGTGGATAGAGAAATTGTTCAAAGTTACTGTTAAAATGACCGAAAGAATCCTGAAGGAGCAGAGGAAAATTGATATATTTCGAGTATTATTTTTTTAATCATGAAAAATCGACGGATTCGCGTTGATATCCGTTCAACGACGTTACCAAATAGCTAGCCAAAGTGTAATTGTTTACGAGATTTAGATAGGTTTAAATTAGTCGTATATTATAGTTAGCTCTAAGGCCGTGATGTTGGCAGCTGTGTTCTACTTTTTTCTTTAGTTAGGCAAGGTACTCCCTTCGAAACGGTAACGCGCCGCGCTCGAGAGGCCCGGACGGAAATTTCTTCGAGTGGCCTTTACGGATACATCTTACGAACTTGATCCGTATTCACCGTGTTTCTCGTCATTCTACGACTATTTTTTTTTTCTGTCCGACCTCGAGTCATAGAGACTCTGGGTCCAGCCAGATTCACCGCCGAAATGATGACAGAAACGTTTGCTCGGGTATTTTGTTATTTATCGAAGGGATACGATCTCATGCGTAAATTGTACTGTTCGCTTCGACGTACGCGCACCCGTTGGACTGCGCGGATCATACAAATGACAATAAAGTATTAAGTTTAATTATTGCGAGGCATTCTGCTCCTAACGCTTCCGGTTACTGGCATTTCCTTCTTCCACAGAATTGTTCCTGGTTCTTTGTTGGGGTTAATTCGAGCGGGGGAAGAACATTTATTTTAGCCTGTTTACTGTGTTCGACGAGTATACTCGTCAAAATTAATTAACAGACTGAAGACGAGAAAAATAACAATCAATTATATATTTTGAATCAGTTTTTCATTCCTTGTTCTGTGTCACTTCATACAGATATGTAGATTTCTATATGGGTACATAGGGTACAAAATTGTTTAGAAACTTTCTTCTGCTATTAGAACTTCCCTCCTTTCTTCTATATTGTACATTACATTTCCTAGATAAAAAGTTGTTCGTTTTTATTTTAACCATCATATATAAAGATTGCAAATTTTAATTATGGTTTCATAGTTATGCTAACCAATGGTCAATGTCTTCTATATATCACGGATGGTAGATATTCCCTTCAGAGCTTGCAGGTCTTCATTTTCTCTATAAGTAAAAATTCTAAAGGATTGTTCAAGTTCCTCTGTCGGGAAATTCGGTTCGCCAAAATCCATCGAAGCGTCGACTGTTCCCCGGTACGTCGCGAGAACCCCTCTCCCCATAAAACGTTTCAGGTCGATAAAACAAAAGTATGGCGAAACGGCATTTATAAATAGGTGAGTTCTGACAGCTTGAGCGAAGCCATGGGCGCCTTTTAGGTTATCGCGCGAGCACGACGGGTCATCTGGCAGTCAAGTGCCTTCACATAGACGATCCGCGTCGGTGTAATCGTTGTTCATGGTGCTACTGGTGCCATAAAGGGCCATGGGAACAAGCTGATAAAAATGTCGGTGCTGATATTAGGGCCCCCGTGGGCTCACGTGGCCCCATTCACCGTGCACACACCTTCGCGGCGGACCACCCTAGCGAACGAAACCTGGGCCCCGCCTTCGTGCACCTGCATGCACCTGCGTGCACTTGTCGCTGCGGAATCTGCTTAATTTCTCTGGACGAGATCCAGAAGCATCACCCAGTGGTGCTCGAAACGTCGCATAAATTTAATGCTAGGCACGATTAGCTCTTCGAGGATTTGGTTGGTGGTTCATGGAATTTCGAAATTTCTGATTATTAACGCGGTAATACTGATTATAACACGGTTTACTCGAGGGAAATAATAAATTCATATTCGAATGAAAATGATCAACGAACAAAAATGGCAAGAGTCGTCTCTAAAGTTCAGGTGTCTTATAAACTACATACAGAAAAAAAAGTATTACGGAGTTATTCGACGGTAAAGATTTTATTAGTATTGGTCCATGTCTGAATCCTTATCGTGATTACAGAATCCCACTCTGATCCTTACATAGAATAGTGTAATTCGGGGAATTAAAAATAACTATCAGAAACAATGAGAACGATTATTGTTGCTTAAGGTACAGCGCAATGTGTATCGATGCATCGTGCTGAATTCGTGCGACCCATTTCAACCCGAATTTCCGTCTGAAAGCCCCATTAGGATATCGTATATTCGCATAATCAATCATCGGACATTAAACATCGTAATACTCGTAATTCGATCCTATTTGCCTGCGAGCGAAAGGGAGCCGTCGGGTCCTAGGTGAATTCACGAAAGGCTGATGCTGTTCAAATAGACACACTCTGGGTGCATATGCATAAGATGTCTCTGGATCGTTCGGCTTAAATTAGAGGCCATCGCGGTTTTTTTACGGGATTCATTAATCACGACGCGCCCGTCCGATCTCTGCGTTAGCAGGCTTTAAACAGATTTCGTTTATTCAATCATGAATCATTCGATACGTGAAAGTACTGTAATAAATATATAATTAATAAAGGTAATTATCGAAGCGTCTTCGAAAGTTATTAAGTAGTAGTTAATGAAATTGAAATGTGTTAATGAATATGAGCTATTTAAGGAATGGAATTTATAGCTTCGATAATCTACGTAGGTGTGTACGAATTGGACATGAATTTGCCCGAGAAACTCTCCTACCAAGTTACAGCATGACGTATTAATATATAAATGCACATCAAAGACGTACAGTTATCAATACTAATTTTTTAATTCAAGCGTGTTTTTAATAAGAACTTACATTGTTCCTTTAATTTATATTTTTCATAATTTTTCGTTTTCATTTGCACACTTATGACTTCCTTAATACTGACTGTTGATAAGTTAGTTTCTGATGATAATCATTCTCTTCATATCCTACGATTGAGAAAAGAATGAACGAAAGTGACGACTATATTTACTTGCTTGAGTTAGTTGTTGTAACTCCAGATTAGGGTGGTAGGGCTGCAGGAAATTAGAATCCAAAAATATTTAAACATTACAGTAGAATTTTGCTGAATTTTGTGGGGCCACCTGGGGGCGATCGGCCGAACTAATTTTCAAACTATAGTAGACACTCGATAATTGATCATCTCGGGACAATAGAGGGCCAAATTTCGTGGAACTGAACAATTAATGACTGCTAATTACCCGCGCGCTTACCCCACTTGTCGACCACCTTCCGCATTACCACATTCCCACTCTCCCGACTCTAAAAAGAATCGCGCAGCAGTCGAAAATTTGCAGTCTCTCGTGAGCTGTCGAGGTGGTTGGGTGTGTTCTCACACCCCTCGTCAAAAAAAAGGTCATACGGAAGTGAAATATGGTGGTGAATATTCTATTCGTTAAAGTAGAAATTGGATCCACCCCACCCATACCAAGCACACTACGAATCTTTTTCCAAATCCTATTTCCTCGATAAAAACCAGAAAGATCGGCAAACAGTCTTATTTTACGGACCCACTGCCCGTACCCGAAGTCTGTATGGAGAATTAACGAGCAAAATGAATTAATAACAGCTTGGCATGCACAATGGATGGTTGCAATTTAAGTCTATTAATTAATAAACTAACATCATTAATAAATACATGTGAGCGAAAGGCTTTCGCAGACATGCATTATCGAATCGACAATTATCGAGCGTCTACTGTAGTCATCTGGTGGTGACCAGCTGAACTAATTCCCAAACTTTTTTGCGGCGTGATTCGGCCATTCACCGCCTCATAGCGCCACAATACAAATCTTTATGAAGGCTCCTCCTGTACTCGTCTTTAGAGGATTCTGAAATTATATCACCTATCCCACTTCTACTCAAAATCCATCGTCGGTTTCTATATGTATGTATATATATATATATATATATATATATCGTCTTCAAATGTCTATCAAAGATCCTCTAATCTAAGACAGCGTTTGCTAGGTAGCCTTACCGATGGGTCCAACTAGCAGGCCTAGGACGAACAGCCCTTCTTTTCTCTCTTCTTCGTTTCTCATAATCTTCATATAAAGCTGCTATATCTTGAGGACTTCATTTAAACATTTTTGAATTTCTTTTTTATTCGAGTACTTATTTATTATTGTACTTATTTACACCTATTTGTTAAAACAAAGAATAGAAATTGAAATAATTGGATTTAATGAACAACGAATCGGTTTTATCGTCGATTTACAATCAACAATACCGATTCCCATATAATTCATCCCCCAGATATTCAACAGGAAACAGATCTCTCGTCATCGAAAATAGTCTGACTGTCAGTCACCTTCAAAATCCTTATTACTGGTAGAGTCGGCGGGCTACAAACGTCTGAAAATAGTTTCTAATAAACTACCGAATCCACAAACTACCGGCAGCACTAAAAAGAACAGGAACTCCTGATGTCATCCCTAAACCGCATCAACTTAAATACACTGTGAATGATGGTCTACCCAACGAAACCCAACGATCTTTACAACAGAAAAAAGCTTAATCCAATTACATTGCACGTTATTATTCGTTTTCATCGAACTAAGGTCGCATAACGAAGAACAGTATTTAATCGAATCAATACAGAAAAGCACGTTGGCCGACACCACGATCGGTATTCATTGGAATGTTTGAGAAATAAAGGGTAAAAGCGAAGGTAAACGAGGAGAGGATGAAAGCGGCGAAGGAGGAGGAAGAAGAGGAAGAAGACGTAAATGAGCGAGAGCGGTGGCGGCAGCGTATACTAAGCACTAATATTACATCTCTGGCCTGACAGACGTGCGGACTTTAAAACCCAAGACTAACAAACAGTTAGCAGTCATCCGGTCTTCTTGTTTTTATATTCTTATGCCCGCCCATAGAGCGCCACGCACCGTTCACCGACTCCTTTCGTTACTTTCGTTGTCGTCGAACGCCACAGTTCACGAATTTCCTGTCGATCTTCGGGGAACCGGCGGACTAATTTTTACCCTTTCATTCTTTATGCATTCGCCTCCATCGTGACACTGCCAAACGAGGAACCCTGCCGAAATAAACGAAACTGCGCTTCACTGGAAATCACGGGAATTCCGAATTTAGCGACTGAACATTTCTTGCAATTCAACAGAATTACGAATATTTCTAATATTTATTACTCTTTCTACTTGAATGCTTACAATAAATACATTTATTCTGGACTATTCGCCCCCAAAAATTCTATTTTCAACCACCGAATGGTGGTTAATCGAGCGCGCAAAAGACCGAGACAAACACTGCCGAAGTAAAAATCCTAAAAACCACCGAGTGCTTGGGGAATTTTCCGATCTCGGGAATCGAAGGAAGCCAGCTCGCCGCAATCCGTCCGACCTATTTATAAAACCGGCTCGGTGAAAGAACGATTTTAGAGCGGTTATTGTTACGACCTCCTCCCCATCCCAATCGAAAGTGGGCAAACGATCGGCAGAGGTCTTGCTACCGGTCAGTTTCAGTCGATATTTCCAGCGATTGCTGAACCCTCCACGAGGGAGGGAAGAAAAGGAAATATCCGAGTGGCGGAATCGAACTCGTAAGAAAGCGAATCGGCGTACCAAGTGCAGCTGGATAGGGTGGTGTAGGGCGGAGGTAGGAGAAGGGGGTGGCTGGTCTCTGGTCTCGTTCGAGGGTAACTGAAATAAGGTATAATTTTCCGCGCCAATTAAGGTCTTTAAGAATTGCGACCAATTGAGCGGGAGGGTCAGGGGCTTAGCTTTAGGGGAGAGATGTACCGACATCCCCCTATAATTTATTATTGATTAGATCGAATCGAGAAAAAGAGCGGCCCGAAGACGAGACCAGTGTGGTCGTCTTAAAGATTACTTCAGCCATCTCCTCACCCTCGAATACGCGCGTCTTCCCTTTGCACCGTGGGGGGCGAGTAATAGGGAAATGGCGGACGTTTTTCCGGTTCGATTACTCGCCACCTGCTAATTGACTTCTCGTACCTACCGATGGCTCCTGGGTGGAAAGAATCGCTTCGAACGACGCCACTTCCAGAACGAGAAGCGAATATAGATCTTATCGATGGAAATTAGATTAACCTTATCGTACACTCGGTCTTTGAAATATAAAAAATAAAAGAAACGCTGAATTATTTCCTCGTCGATATCCGGAACGCGCGAGGCCATCATCGGATCAAGTGAGGCGTGAGGATCCACGCTCCTGTGGTTCACACTTAATTAAACCGCCATAGGAACTCTCGGCTGGCAGCACGTGGCGGACAATGCTGCAAGTCTTTAGCGGCGATTGTTATGTAAAGCACACCCTATATATGCACCCGCGCGCAGTTTCCTCTCGACTCGATACGAGACGAAGTACTGTACGGTACAACTCGGCTGTCTGCGTCTACGTGTACCACCACGGTACGGAGCAACTTTTCCGAAAGCATTAGACAGCGATTCAAAGGGGAATAAGGCGGCGGACACTGGGGATGATCGCTATTTTAGCCTGGAACAAGTGTCTCCAAGTAGTCGAAAAGTAAGAGAAACGAGGAAGACTCGTTGTAAGAACTTTCTGCTTCTTGGCTTCTGGGATAATGGAAACTGTTGACTTTGAATAATTTTATCCGGCCTTCGGGGAACTGAAAAGTTTGTCATGCCACTGTACCTTGAAACGAGAAGTATCTTCCAGGAAGAAGATTGTAGGGATAATTATTCAATTCTTGATTACCGTCCCTTCTTAATTGCTGCTTTCTTCGGTATTGTCCCCTTCTTGGGGACATTTTACTTACGATTGCTGATACCTAAATTGACGGTGTAAAAGTCTCGAGAAACGTGTACAAATGCGGTATTCGAGTTTCGAAAGCATTCTTTCCTTTTAGTTGCAAATATGCTGAGTCAACGTATATACCCCCTCTTTTATTACACCGCCATACACAACTGTTTATCATGCATGTACTTACAAATCGTTAATTGTAACAAATTAATCCTGAAACTATTTCTAGTCACAGAACCAGATCGATTATGATGGCATAATACAATTTTTCCAAACCCACAACAATATTATCAATCTCCTAAATAGTATCCCCTGAATAGTATTGATAAAATTCTGCAACCATTTCAAAATAGCCAGATCAATCAGATACGATCTAGAAGTTTCGAAAAACATAAAGAAAGTCACGTTAGAAATAATTTCACCCCCGAACGAAAGATATCGCCTTTAGCGCTCTGAAAAACCGAAGATCCTAGTAAAAAATGTCCCTGGTCCCGCGAATCGCGAGTAAATACTTCCTCGAAGTAGCACTCCCTCGCGTAAAACGACGTGTCACGCGCGATACCTGAAAGACGTTCCCCTCTACATTCCTCCTCGCCCACCCCTCGTCTCTTCGACCCTGAAAAAAGCTGGGTGATCCCACTCCGAGCGCGTTGTCTCTCGTCACCTCGACGTAGAAAGCTTCGCGGTGCCGTCGATTGGCTCGGTCGGGAGAGCAACGTCGCCGAGACAGCCGTGGATTGGTTGTAGGGCGAGGCTTGCGTCGTGACGGAAGCGTCGCCGGGCGTCGCGCCTCCAACCTGGAGGTCACGTAAAGCTCCACCTACGCCATGACCCGCGAAAATCGAATGTCTCGGCTGCTATACGCTTGCTCTTGGTTAGATCGAGTACTTTTGGGATTGGGAAACGATATCTCGGAGTAGAAATTTTGTGTTTGTGGTAAGGGATGAAATGAAATATTGGAAGGATCGAATATGAAATTTCAAGTAACGTTCGATACAACATTGACTGTCACGTGATCACGGACAGTTGATAAAACTTTAGATAATCTGGATATAAAATCGATCCTTAAGGTGGAATATTAAATAAAATATAAGTAAAATCTTGGCCGATACAGTTTCTATGTTTCGAAACAATAAACGTCTTGTCTTCGAAACACATTCACCGACCCAATATATTCCATTCGAAATTAATATACCAAACTAAAAGTAGCGATTGCATGGGTCGAAAGCTTCTGGTCTCCGCGTCGCGAGTTCACTCACTCGTCTCGAGACATCCGTTAGGTCAAAGGGGCAGCAAAAGGAGACGCGTAAAAAGCGCGTCCTGAGCGTCGTCGACGACGGAGGATTCGGATCGTGGTGAGGTCTCGATCCACTGGGAGTGGAGGGATGTTTGGTGGGGGTTGACTGGCTGGCATAGAAGGGGAAGATCGCCGAGCGCGAGAGGCAGGGGGCCGAACGAAGCTTCCCGGCTGAAGTGGCCCGCGGACTAATTCGAAAAATAAGTCTCGGCGCGCGACAAGCACACTTGACCGAAGCACACTCCTGTGCAGAAGGGCGCGCTGGCCACTCGAGTGTTCGCCGAATGACAATTAATAAACGCGTAGAACCGAGCCGGTGTGTATCAGCGCCGACGAGTAGAAGATTACGCGGACACGGAAGCGTCCTGGTACATACGCGAGTCAGTCGAGCCGCGACTCCGATAGAACGTGGCCGTCGATCCGTGGACCAAGCTCTGGGAACTTCCGGAACGATTCTTGTGCCGGTTGAAACGATTGAAACGAGTCACCCAAGGACTGGTGTACAAGAGAACGTCAACGGTACCAAGTTGCAGCTGAAGAAACAGTGATCGATTGATATTTTCAAGATGTTCGAGAACCGTGATTGTCTTTTTGTGCGGGGGATACCACCCAGTGATTGCTGAGACGATGAAAGATAGAGTATCGTTGAAGCTGTGAAGGGTAGACAGTGAAACGTTCGAGTTGTGAAGAATAGAGAGGGAGGCTTGTATAAGACTTCGACAGATAGGACAGTTTGGGTTTGATTAGTGTTCGGAAAGGTGAAAGAAGGCATGTCGGGCAGAGAAGAGACCATGGACGACGAGAAACGAAGCGAAGCCTCCCCGAAACCTTCCCAGCTGACTCCGTTCAGCATCGCGGACATCCTCAGTCGAAGAACTAACCACGATCAAAGATCCCAGGAGTTGGATGACGCGCAAGGTGCGTCGTTCGTGAAGAAACCTCGCAGAGAATACGACTGTATGGACAACGATCACAGAGAGGCACGCTCGGGACAGGATCAAGGTCAGTTGACTAGATTCCCGAGGCTCCCGTCACCTGACCTGAGCGTGGCCAGGGAGCTGGATATTTTAACGAGGAACCTTGTCCACGCGAACATCTCGAACTTTGCCACTATTCCACACCTGGGCCAGGGGACCTTCAAACACCTTGAATCTCTGGGGAACATGACTGCTTATCAGCCGGTTAAAGACTCGAGAGAAACTTCGCACAGGCAGCAAGACGAGGCGCTGGACATGAGCAAAAATAAATATCTGGGTGAGTGGATGAATATTTGTTAAGTACATAATCATACTTCGGCCCTTAAACTATAAAAGCAGACGAACTATCTAAACAAAATCTAATGATATCCTTCCACCTTCGACTTTAATCCATCTCGTACTTGAAAATTACTATCCATATACAGTATATTCTAAATAATTTACGACGAGGTGCTTCGGTCATCCCTTTCTATAATTCTAAACCAGCCAAGACGTTGATAATTACTGCACCTATATCGAATCGACAATAATTACGAAGCCTATCTACATGAACGTAGAACCTCGAGTCTCCTAATCACCGATATGACCGTGGCGTACGATAACCAACAGGAGTCGACGACTCAAGCGAGTGACCAGGGCCCACTTACGAGCGAAGAATCTTCCCGCTCGGTTGGACAGCCTCCCTTCTGGGAGATCGTGTGTCTGCCACGAGGATTGCAGGCTTAAGAGATCATTTAGCCCGGTATCCTTGTAACAGGCAAGCTTTTCAAAGGGGAGGGGGGGTGGTTTTTTTCAGTTAACCCGAGCGCAGATAACGTGATCGAATGTAATTTTAGTAGCATAAGTGGTGCTCGACCCGGCAGACGTCACAAGTGGCCGGCACTCTGCTTCTTGCACTTGTTCGATCCCCGGGGCCACACTGTTGCTCTGTCTCTCGAGTCGTCGAGGATCCACCGAGATCGGAAGCAAAAACAAATTTAGATCAAGGTTGCCGGGGACCGATTCTCTGGAAATCCGACTTTTTTTCCTCTCCGTCCATCGGATCCGATCGAAGAAGATTCGTTGAACGAGCGACGGTCGGTGCTACGTGTGTTTCACGGTCGAAGCAGCTAGATTCGGATTTGATTCGCGAGAGGATCACAGGGTACCGCCCAATTAAGCAATTAATTCGTACCTGGAACCGTCTCGTCCCGCGACGATCCCTTTGGTTTCTCGACTACGCTCGAGGGTGAAGCGAGCAACAGCAGGCACGAGCTGGCACCGTTTCAAGGCTCGCTCGCGGAATTACGAACCCCATTTTCCTGGCTGTATCGTTCTCGGGAGTCACTTAATACGGTAATGGACAGGATACGCGAAGCAGGTTCCTAGTCTGGCCTCTAGTAGAATCCTGACGTTTCCTGTTACCATTAATCTCGAGTCACTTACACCGTAAGGGGTGGAATCTACCGCTAGCTTCTTTTTAGATTGCTGAAAGTGTACGCTACGAGCAAAATATTGTTTCTGATTAGATCGACTTTGCTATCGATTATACTTATACTTCTATGTACACTGTTCTATCGTATACTCGTTTATAATACTCGATTTATATCCTAGAACTACAGTCTTTCAATCGAATATCTTTACCATTCTTTTAGATCGAAGCTAGACGTCTCTATCCGTCTGAAAATAATTTCCTTTTTCAAATTCATGTCTCTAAACCCTATACAATTCCGATCAATCTGTTCTATGATTCAGGTCTTTATAATGATATTTTAATTACGTTCGAAGAATGAGGTTAAATGGGTAGCTAAGCACGAAGGTTCGATGGCTCCCCTAACAGGGATAATATTTCATGCGGTCGTGGTCCATATCAATTCATACGAAAAACGACGAGCCTCGTTTCAGAAGGTACGAAGGGTCATCTCGGTGTAATCGGAGTGAGAGCAAACGGCACTTGCTCCTCTCGAACACTCTCGACGTAGGACGCTCGTGGGCTTGTTTGACGAGCGTCGGAGGAAGGACACGCATTAGCTGGACGGGATGGCATAGAGTTGACGTCGAAAGAGATCAAATATAGATCTCTCTAAATGCTTCGAGTCCCCCCCATCGCATCGACGGCCACCGATAAACATTGACGCAAGAGGACTGTACGAAATAATTATGATGTCAGACGAGATCTTCGAAATTGACCTTTTTCTCGCGCCCCCAAAGATGATCGGATGTCCTCGTGGCTTTCAATTGTTTCTGGGGTGGCACGACACTTTCAGGCAAAAGTGTTCCTCTGAGATATACATACATGGATCGCTGAGACCATTCTGAGTTAGACACTGTCTATAGATCGTATATATGGTACCATATATTATGGTACTATTTAAAGACTTTGGAGAGTATTAAGTCTTTAATGTCGTATCTCATGTTTCTTTCCACTAATGAGAATTCAATCGATGACGCCATTCTCGACCACATATTGTTATCAAATCTTGGTACCATTTCCAGATTTTAGGGATATTAAGTTCGCAATAGTAGAATTGATATTTCAGGTCTGACAATTTATGGTTAATTGTTTATTCAAGTCTGACTAGCGTTTGAAATTCAGCTAGGTCATTTTAGATCGCTTTATATAAGCGATCTAAATTGATTCGTTGAATTTTTTCATTACTAATGTTCTTGTGTATCATTCTAACCCCTCGAATATGATGATTCTGACAAACTACCCTTTGTACTTTCGTTGATGGTACTTCGACCGATAAATTAAGCAACTTATTCAATGGTAACCTACGTCAAAAAAGGCACTTTACGTTATATACCCTCTGATTTATCTATTCCTGGCGACCAACATCCATAATCCAGACACTAGATCAAATATCGAAATCTTGGTATAAGATTCAAAGACCCACTCATTGACTGTACCATCAATTTAACTTCCACTGGCCACTATACAAAGGATTAAACAACGTCTGCCTGTCTAAACGGACTCGACAAAAGTTCGAAAAAACCCAGATGACCGCTCGAGGTTGCAGTATCTCTTCGTTCGTCGTTTCTGCGCCTGTTTCCGATCCGGTCGACGAAGTTATTACCCAAACAATACCGGCCGAAAGTATTCTCTGCAGGAATAACGCGTCGTGATGATCGATTCCGACAATTCGCGTCACTGAGACGAACAAAGTCGTCTAATCGAGTAGAATTTTCGTACGAACCTGAGACGCACGATTGCACTCCGATGCGACCGGTTAAACTTAGAGAGAAGAGAATTACCGTGGAACAGGAGCGTAAACATGTCGGAGTAGCGAGTGCACGTGTTAATGTTTGAACGAGACATCAAACGACGCGCCGGAACTCTCTCTCCGAACGTGTTCGTTCGTTCGTTCGTTCGTTCGCTCGTTCGCCGCTTCTATGGCTGTCCAAAGAGGATGGTTACTCGCTAGTTGGCCCACCTCTCTCGCTGTCCACCCTTCCAACCCCTCCCTCTAGTGTAGCCTAAAACACGTTTGATTTACGATCGTGGCGGTAGATCATCGGCTTCCGATCTGCCCGTTTGTTTGCTCTGGAATTTCGAAAACCGCGAACTTTATACTCCTCTTTGCGATTCGAAGATTCGGAATAACTAACGTTTTCGGTTGGACGATCGCGTTGCGACCTTCCTCTGTCTGGGAGACGATGGAATTTTTCGTATGATTTTTTTTGCGACCGTGTTTTCGTGCAATTTCGCAGAGGACACGGAGGAGGACATGTACGAGCCTCAGAACCACGGGCAGAATCTTCAGAGCAGAAAGAAACGCAGCAGGGCGGCGTTCTCGCACGCGCAGGTTTACGAGCTCGAGAGAAGATTCGCCGCGCAGAAGTATTTGTCGGGACCGGAGAGGGCGGATCTAGCGAGGGGATTGAAGCTGACCGAGACTCAAGTGAAGATCTGGTTCCAGAATAGACGGTAAGACGCGCACGGCAGAATTGCTAATTTTTCGGGGTTACGTGGTTTTGAACCGTGCCCTTGTTGAGCTCGACGAAGGGAGATGAAGGATTCACATCGATGAAAGAGAGTACGTAGAATGTTTTTAGAGTAGATTAGACCCGTCTGATAAGTCTGTGGACTGAAGTATGCCACTTTTGAATCGTCCTGTACGTACTAATCTAGTTTCAGTTGCGTTACTATTCATTCGATATAACATTCTTGAGAAGAAATGAATACACAGCTGTGGATATATTATTCCATTCCATTTGAGATGCCACTTTTGAATCAATCCGTAGGAAAATAAAAAGGATCACTTACCGAGTTTATGCAAGAGTGTCGCCTTTTTGAAACAGGGAAGCGAACGATATTTTTGTTTTCAACTGTAGATTTCTCCGTTCTGTTTTCGAGCAACGTTCTTGAATCATCTTACGTAATCGTAATTGCATCTTTCTGTAAACATCTGACTTCGATCTGTCGGTACAAAGAGTCCATTTAACTGTTATGAGGAAGCTTATAAATGACTGTTTATTACGAGGAAGCTTGTAACTCACAAACGAAAGTGTATCGATTCCAATGAATTTGTCCCATCGGAAAGGACAGTCGACTGCAACGGGTAAATATTTAACTGTTGGAGCAAATGCTGGTACATTTCTCATAAGTGGAAAATTCCTTCTATGTCTGAAAAACAACTGACTTGCAGACGTCAAGAAAATCGTAAGGCGAGGGATTAATACATCCTAACTTCGATTTGTCTCTGTGTTTATCTTCGCTGTATTATAAAATATTCCGTATATATCGACCACTTGGAATTTCTCATAGAGTTCTCGTTAAAACAGAAGAAACGTGAACGAAATCCGATTGACACGAGCGTTTCCATTCCAGATACAAGACCAAGAGGCGGCAGCAGCAGGAGCTGGGCGCGCTGGTTAATTCCGGGAACGCGAGGCGCGTGGCGGTTCGAGTTCTCGTGCATCCGGACGAGCATTTGAGGGGATTGCCACTTCGTGGTTCCGGGCAACTTCCCGGGCAAATGTCGGCCCCGCAAATTCATCCGGCGAACAAAGCGCTCAGCGGTTTCCCGTACTACTGCCTCCCCTATCATCCGTTGCTCTGCCCGCCCCTTCACTCCGCTCATATACAGGTGCAAAACACGATCGCGTCGGACCTCGATCCCAGCCAGCTATCGAAAATCAACGACGAGAAATAAAATCGGGGCAATGCGGGTGGACGAGTTTTCACGGCGAGGATCGATCGTTTCGCCACGCGTTATCGAAATTACACGTACACGAACGACGTCAAGCTGGTCGATCTACGAGTGCTTCACGGTTATTTTAGTTGTAATCATCATTAGACTGTGGATTGCTATGCAAAATTACATTTTCTAAAGTAATTCATGAATTCTTTGTCCCCTTGAGTATATTATCGGGGTTTAAAATAAAATAAGAAACTCGTTATATTTAATAAAAGGTTTGTCTTTTATAGCACTATAAGCCGTGAACGCATAAGGTCCGCAGTCTAATCATTTTTCTTTGTCCCCTTGAGTATATTATCGGGGTTTAAAATAAAATAAGAAACTCGTTATATTTGATAGAAGGTTTGTCTTTTATAGCACTATAAGCCGTGAACGCATAAGGTCCGCAGTCTAATCATTGTTTTTTTTTTGACTAGCAAAGGATCGAGAAGTCTTCGAAGTGTCGTCGAGTTTGAAGACTCTTTTAGGTATCATTAACGAGCGTGTCGACTGCCAGAGATTCATCGGAATCTCTGCGGTCCGAATATTCTTTCTTCGATCCGGTTCGAATTGAATGTATTTATTAGATTGTTTTTCATTGTTATACTTCGAATCCGAAAGTCGTGTTACTCGTGCACGGCAGTCGATTGTAAGCTAGTCTATTTGTAATTACTCTACGATTTTCGTTCGCCAGTAACCAAAGATTGAATTACGTTAGAATTGTCGATAGACACTCGAGGTTACGTTTTGATATTAAAAGTCGAGAACTACGTCGCATATCAAGCATCCACGTACACAGAAACTTCCTACCGTCGTTGTCAAAGTTAACAATTATTATTAACCGTCTTTGATCGCGATTCACGCGTAGCACACTTGGAAATAACGATTTAAAGGTGCACGGTGTCGTTTCTTCCGCGGACTAATTCTGGATTCACTTAGAAATATTATCGTAATCTAGGGAAGAGGATCGTGTAAATTAGCGTGTAAATAACTGTATAAAATGGAATTTGAGTCGAGCGGTATCGGTAGCCGGAGTAATTATTTATTCAAGCTCTTGAAAACGATCTGCGAATCACCATTAATGCACCGATAGTCACACAAACGTGTCAAAATTTTGATGAACCTTATGTTTTTCTAATTCTTTTAACTCTTTGGTATGTTTTCTAGTAATTTATACTACTCGAGACTTCTCGTTATAACTTCGTATTCCTATGAAATATTCTTCTGCAACATTTCGCGTGTGTAACTTCAGAATCTTAGACCCGTCTCGAGTACTATAAATTATTATTAAAATGTCTAATTTGTTATTTCGTAATGCCGTTAATATGACGTGTAACAGTTTAAGTTTTAAAATATAAAATGAAATTGTGATGTTACGTGCAATGTGTGTGCAGTTCGATATTATTCGACAATCGATTTCGATCGAACCGTTTCAGAGACTACCGTCGGTACTCCACCGGCGGTCCACGTGCAATAAAGAAGCCAAAGAATGCCGATGCCATACGATCTTAAGCGTTACCACACTTTACTTATAAGCGAGCCGCCAGGCATTGTTTTCGCGCGCCTATGTGATGATACAGATCTATTCGACCTATATCAAATGGTTCATTAAAACGAGAAAACGGAATAAAAAAAGAAACGTACGCTGTGTCTTCCTTTTTATCCCTCTTAAACGGCCCGCCTGCGTCACGGCCGCGGGGGATCGTAAAAACTCGACGTGCTTGACCCGGGACTTCGCCACCGAAACAAGTAGCTACTTTTTTACGACACGCTTGTGAACGATTTTACGCATCCTCCCGCGCCAAGTGACGTTCAAACTGCATTTTTTCTTCCTTAACGTCTTACATTTCACAATAGAATTATTTAAGAATAATGGAATTCTAAATCAGAATGTGGTTCGAGGAGAGTACATCTTATGTTTCGAAAGAAATGATTTTTTAGCAGGAACGATGCCGCGTCGATTGTAATTTATCGAGGATGAATCGATTCAAGAGATTCTAAATCATCGAGAGTAGGACGGGGGAAGCGTCGATCAGACGGTGGAATCGCGAAATCGACGTTCCCGTCAACGACGATGGAAGAACCGACTTTCCCATAAGGGTTTTAATAGCTCCGTCTGGGTGGGCTCGACAGACATCAGATCTGTTTATTCAGTCGCGGAGACGAGCAGACTTAACCGACGCGACGGGGGGAAAAAAATCTAGATCCGACACTCATCTGTTATAAACAAAGGAGTTACATTATCCTCCACGAAAGGGCCTTTACGCCTCCGTCACGCGATCTGCATGAAAAGGAGGGCGCGCTCAAAGGACCCCGCCGCTTTTTGGCTGACTCGGCCGGAATTTCGGGCCAGGACACCCTCGTCGAGACGTTGCTCACTTAAATTTTACAACGTCGTGCTTTTTTCTATAATAAAAAAATAAATGTTTCTCTTCATAGGTCTGTTTATAATAAAATTTGTTTCACGTGAAACGGTAACCCTCTTTCATCCCCATTTTACAATCTTTTGGAGCAGATATTGATGACTTGAAATGCTTCTTTGTCGTAAACACCAACGGTTCTTTTTTTTTTCAATTTTTTAATACAGATTTTTTAACGAAATCCTGTCTTATTCAGTATCGTATTAGATTGCAATTGTTAGTTACAATTAAAATTCTACTTCACCTAGCCTTTACTGATACCAATGATTATTGTGCGTTTATACAGTATAATAAAATGAAATCTACAATAAACTTACAACGAAATATTTCATTTGTGTTTGATTTGAAATAAATTCCACTCGTAATTACAATATGAAAACTGTAATTTCGCGTATAAATTTGCAGTCTAACGGACTTAAATAAAATTTCGATCTAACGTAATCATGATCCTCCCGAACAACATAACACCGCGTAAAATTATATACAAATCGATTCCAGCCTATCCTGAGTCAACGTTACCCACAATTCCCACAAATGATTGTTACTTCAGCAATGAAAAGTTAAAAAAAAAAGCATGACGAGGAATTTCAAATGGATTACAATCGTTCCCGGTTCGTTCTCCTCCACGGTCATCAATGACAAAGTTGACTAGCAGTGGAACGAGCAAGGCTCGGTCGGAAGATGGATTTTATAGTCGTTTCTGCAGTCCATTACTGCTACGTTTATATCATGTTCTAAACATTCGAAAGCCATAATGCTCTCGGCGTTAAACGAAGCCTTGTGCTGACACGGGAGCCGTTACTAGTTTCGGAACTAGCAGGGATTACTTGCGGTTTCCATTAAGAAAATTAACACGGGCCATTGTACACTGGCGAATAATCAGCCATCGAAATCGTTCGAAGCGAGTAGTGACCTATTTTCGATACTCCGCCGTTCGTTCCGAGTGTTGAGGGAATCGCGGCGCAATTCGATGCACTTTAATCACGAATAATAACTTAATCTTCTCCGCATTCTTGCGATTATAAGGAACGATAATCAAACCTCTTTCACTGGCGGTGATGATCAATAATAGAGTATAAACATTATTAGTCCCAAATGAAATTCCCAAAGCTGAATCTCCAAGTATATAGAAATCGTCGCTTTCGCGTATTGTCCTCGTCACATCCATGGCAACGCAGCTCAAGGAAATCGCTAATTACTCCTGCTATTCGTTAACGGACCGTCTCGATGGTATTTTCGAAAAACGCTTTTGGCCTATCCGTACGAACATTTGGCTGAAGAGGGCTCGTCTACTACCCGTTGCGAGGCTATCGGGGTCGTGCGAACCGGCGGTGGCTGGAGAAAGGGGTGAAAAGCGGGGGAACGGGAGGGTTGAACAGGGAGGAAAAGACCGTTCACAGCGCTATTAACAGCTAATGAAAATTAGCTTTCGTCGGTTGATTGAGCGTCAAATCGTCCCTTTCTTGTTTCGAGAAGAGAGAGAAAGACGGAGAGAGAAGTCCGTCCACTGGTGTCGTTAGAACCGACACGTACTCCCCGGCTTCGTATTGCACTGTGTCTTCTCCCCCTGCCACTTTTTTCTCTTCTCGGCCGCTAGTTCCACCGATAGGAAATTCCGGGGGAAAGTGCTCGTCTCTTCGTTTGGAAATTATCCGGGATTTCGTGGACCGAGAGGATTTGCATAAACGCGTGCTTCATCGAAAACGTCCGATCCCCTTTTCCCCCGTTGTGGAATCGCGACAGAACTATTTCAATATAGTTAACGTGTAACACTTCGTTCGACACTTTGAATTGTTCAATTTAAAGTTTCGATTTAATCGAACATTTCGAGATCGCGGTTCAAACGATTTTCACCGATTTTGAGGTCGCGGAAAATCCCGTAGCTGGAAGAGAATTTATTTGGCTAGTGGCTGCATAGCGGCTATTATCAATTCTTCACGAGCCATTTCAGGCCCGAATGAAAAAAAAAAAAATTCCCTTTTTTTCCACGGCGGCGGGGTGGGAGCGTGCGGTCGCCTCTTACAATGGCCGCGAAACAGGGAATTTAAAAGTATAATCGTCCACCGTACGGTCCCTGGAAAATACTTTTCACCGTCGAACGACTTCTGTCTCTCGGACGTGCACGTTGAATTTTGTCCGAAGAAAAATCCCAATAAATTCGTCCTGGCAATCGTTGTCACTGACCACCGTAATATTTAAACGGAAAATCCTATAACAAAGTCCCACGATTTATCCGTATATACAGAGCGATGATAATGTTATGATTCCGTGTCGGTTCGCACGAAGAGAGAAAACTTGTCTTTCACCGACGTTTTCGAGGCGAAAGGAATCGCAGTCCCCTTTAACCTCTTCAATAGTCCGCGTGACACTCCGGTTCCTCGGTCTCCTTGGCAACCGTCCCAATTGAAACGCGTGTCAGAAGTCAGGAGGACGGTGTATAAGAGAGATAAAAAAAAAAAAATAGAAGGAAGAAAGGAGGGCAGGTAAAAAGGCCGCGGCTGGAGAGACGGAAAAGTGGCGGCAGAAAATCTCAAACTTCGAACCGGCAATTCGTGT